TCATTAAGATTTTCACAAACTTTTAGAGCCTTACCGGTCAGTTTAGGCTTTATTAACCAAACCCAATGTTCTTCAGGCCAATTAAAATGTTTGGCTATGGTCTCAAACTCTCTAAAGAAACCTTCAGGATTATCCTCTGCAAATACAGGAGTTAGCTTTACGCATTTACTAATCTCAAAATCAAAATCCCCTCGACTTTTTACTTTCATTTCCATCATTTGAAGCTCATGTTTTCTTTGGTTTTCCTCGCGTTCCAATTGCCTTTCTTCTCTTTCCCTTTGAAACTGTCTCTCTCTCTCACGCTCTTCTTCTTTAGCTCTAGACAATCTTTCCTCACCTAAAATCTTAGCTTGTGTTATTTGAAATCTTAATTTCTCTATTTCTAGTAATTGTGAAGGATTACTAGTATCAAAGTCAATATTTTCAAGAGGAAAAGCCTGCGGTTCATGCTGCTCTTGCAAATGTTCAATTATGGGATCTTTGAGTTGAGCTTTAGTGGCCTCTTTCTGATAATTAATTCCCCAGTGCCTAGCCATGTAAATGAAATCATCCTTACAAGGATTTGACGAGTGTTTATTGCAAAAAGGTTCCAGATAAGAATTAATTCTTGCTTTACAGTTTATAAGTTTACAGAGAGGTGGCGAGTTATGTTAAAATAAAGGATCATTGCAGTATTCTTAAAGAAACTCAAATCCATCTAATTAAGCGGCTATATTGGCAAAGCCACCATCTGCCTTCTAGCTCCCACAAACTGAATGGGAAGAAATTGTCCAGATCGTCTCCCAGATTGTCGAACTGAAACAATTGCTTAAAGACGAATTTGAATTATAAAGCGACTACATTAATGAAGTAGTACAAGACTTCTAATTGCAGTGTGCCAGTGCAGCTAAAAGACGGTTAAGATATATTCCCACCTAATATAATCTCGAACCTTAGCTATATCAGAGAAACTCGTTCATAGACGGTCACACTTACAACCGAGTGTAGTTTACCATGCTTAGTAAACTAAAACTAGACTTACGGCGAGCTCTGTCGGCTCCTAAGGAATCTCAGGTCGGTTAAAGTGGGAGATGCTTACTCACATTCAAGCTTAGGTAAGTTGAACTGTACAAGGACACGTAAGAACCAATATTGAATTTATCTGTTGATTGTGCAACACTTTAACAATGGCCAGTTGTAAAATGCTCACTGGTTACGAGAAATAGCAAAAAATACTATAACCACTCTTAGGTAAACCTCAACAAATTTTTGTCGCAAGTTACAAGATATTTAGCAAGATTAATTAAAGGAAATAAGTCATGATATTTATATATGATGTTAATAGTAAATAAAAATCCAGGTCAGGCCCCCATTTGTAACAATCCCGCTTGTTGTACAGTGCAGTACAGTGTAGGTTGATAGAATATGCAAGATTAGTTTTAAGATGTCTAGGGGAAGCAGCGGAATAATTCCAACAAGTAATGAAAGTAGCTTGTATTAGAGCTTATAAATGAATATCTAACATATCTTGAAGTTCGTAAAGTTTGCAGCTTTTATTATTTTCTTGAATTTATACTCTTGTGAATTATCATTAAGCGTATTTTGAATCACTAGTTATTATGAAGTTATTATTTAGTATTCTTTTGTTAATTAGATATCTTTCTATTAGTTATTTCTAATTTATTTAGTGTTTCCAGTACTAGTCCTTATTTCTGTTATATTTATTAGTAGTAACCTACAGTGTAGGTTAATAGTCTATGCAAGATTAGTTTTAAGATGTCTAGGGGAAGCAGCGGAATAATTACAACAAGTAATGAAAGTAGCTTGTATTAGAGCTTATAAATGAATATATAATGTATATCTTGAAGTTAGTAAAGTTTGCAGCTTTTATTATTTTCTTGAATTTATACTTTTGTGAATTATCATTAAGCGTATTTTGAATCACTAGTTATCATGAAGTTATTATTTAGTATTCTTTTGTTAATTAGATATCTTTCTATTAGTTATTTCTAATTTATTTAGTTTTTCCAGTACTAGTCCTTATATCTATTATATTTATTAGTAGACTTATTTAAGTATTGCTTATTTATATATTACGTGCATCATTCAGTATTCTTCATTTCAATTTCTTCATTTAACATTTCTTAGTAATCTTAGGTTATCATGGCAGTTTCTTAATTGTCTTAGGTTATCTTCTCATAGTAGGGTTATTTAGATTGAATAATATTTCACAAGTTTAATCATTTCAATAAATATATTGCACACAACAAAACAATTAAATAATATACAAAATAAAGAAATATTACTTATGATAAATAGAATTTCAGTTTCAATTCTAACGGCGATTTAATACACACTTTTCTATCAGAAAGCCGGATTACCGCATAATTATAACACCACTTATTTCCTTCACTTTTCACCTCATACCCTAGCATACACAGAGTATATACTTCACCAGTATAATTTAGAAGTCACCAAGGTTCCAGATGTTCGTACAATTTTCAAATTTAGTCCACCGTATACCCGTATACCTGGGAGTGAATGAAGCAATGGCCGCTCAGTCGAGACTCGCGTTTTCAGTCCACGTCACTCCGCAGGTAGACTGCTGCGCCCTCCGCTTCGGAACCTCGGATTCGCGAATCTTCATGTTCAACGCATAATACGCACACTAGTTTCGAACGCATTTTTTTATCCTCACTTTGGTACGCACAGGCCGTGAATTTGGGAAGATTGTAATAACACCCCCCAGAAGTCAAATCTTCTAAGATTTGATTGAAGAAATTAGTTCAAATTTATGGCCTGGAGAGTGCATCTGCAATTACGTTGTCACGCCCTTTAATGTGTTTCACTTGAAGATGATAAGGCTGGAGGGACAACGACCATCTCAATAGTCGCTGATTGGAGTACTTGTTCTTCTCCAGGAAGGTCAGCGGATTGTGGTCCGTGAAGATCTGGACAGGATGAGCGCCACCATACAGATAACACTCGAACTTCTTGATTGCAGTTATGATTCCGAGTAACGAATCTCTTATAAAATGTCATAATGAAGCTTGTGATGGTGCTGTTGTTAAATCTCCTAGTTTTTACTACAAAGATAATGTACTGATGAGATTCTATCGACCTCCTAATCTGTCTGTAAAGGATTCATGGTCTGAGAAGCATCAAATTGTCTCACCACAGTCTATCAGAAAGAGTGTAATGGAGATCGCTCATGAAGGTTTTGGTGGGCATCTCGGGATCAGGAAAACTTGTCAGAAAATCTTAAATGATTTCTTTTGGCCTGGACTTAAACAAGATGTTACAAAGCACATAAATTCATGTCATGTTTGTCAAGTAGCTGGGAAGCCCAATCAGGCTATTCCTCCTTATCCTCTCCAACCCATTCAAGTCCCATGTGAACCTTTTCAAAAGATTATCATTGACTGTGTGGGACCTCTACCAAAAACCGCAAAAGGGAATCAATATATACTGACTGTAATGTGTCCCACTACAAGGTATCCAGAGGCATTTCCACTTAGAAATATTTCTGCTAAGAGTATTTGTAAAAATCTTGTACATATGTTTACAACTTTTGGTATCCCACAGGAGGTACAGTCTGACAGAGGTAGCAACTTCACGAGTGAACTCTTCTCTAAGGTACTCCAAGAACTGGGTATTAAGCAGACCCTTTCCACTGCATATCATCCTGAGTCACAAGGAGCCCTGGAGCGTTGGCACCAAACACTAAAATCCATGCTCCGCAAGTTCTGTCCGGAGAATCAGAAATGCTGGGATGAAGGTTTGCCATTCATGTTGTTTGCCATTAGAGAAGCTCCTCAAGAGACACTAGGTTTTTCACCTTTTGAGCTTTTATTTGGTAGAAAAGTAAGGGGGCCTTTGAAGTTGGTAAAAGAGAAATTGCTAAATGATTCATCTGATAATATAACTACAGTTTCACTATACCTTAAAAATCTTCAAGAAACATTAGCTAAAGTTAGAAAGATTGCAAAAGATAACTTATCTAAAAGTCAAACTAAAATGAAGATTAGATATGATAAATGTGCCAAACAAAGAAATTTCAAAGTAGGCGATAAAGTTCTGGCTTACATTCCCATTCCTGGTTCTCCACTGGCAGCTAAATACCAAGGGCCTTATACCATTGAGAAGAAACTTAATGACACTAACTATATTATTGAAACTCCTGACCATAGAAAAACAACTCAATTAATTCATATATAGATTAAAACTATATATGCCTAATTCTCCCAATACTACAGATGACTTGCCGCAGAGACTACCTTGTAATGTCAATACGTTTGAAGATCCACTTGATATTAATCCATGGATCAATGCTTGTAATTCTGATATTCTTGTTAATCTATCTTCATTCTTAATTCACCTTAGTTCAGACGAGATACAGGGGATATCTAACCTTTTTCAAAATTACTCGCCCTGATGCGCTTCCTTGGCATGGTGGGATTTTACCGTCGCTACTGTCCAAATCTCGCAGACGTCGCTGCTCCGCTGACGCGTCTCACCAGTCAGAAAGTGTCTTTTTCCTGGACTTCAGAATGTCAGAAGGCTTTCGAGAGGCTGAAGCTGTTGCTTTCCAGCGACCCCGTGTTGGCAGCTCCAGATTTCCAGAGACCCTTCATCCTGCAGACAGATGCCAGTGACATAGCTACCGGCGCCGTCCTCCTCCAAGATGATGACGAGGGTGTTCTACATCCAGTAGCTTACCACTCAACCAAGCTCGCCAAGCATCAGCTAGCATACAGTACCATCGAGAAGGAGTTACTCGGAATCATAACTGCAATCAAGAAGTTCGAGTGTTATCTGTATGGTGGCGCTCATCCTGTCCAGATCTTCACGGACCACAATCCGCTGACCTTCCTGGAGAAGAACAAGTACTCCAATCAGCGACTATTGAGATGGTCGTTGTCCCTCCAGCCTTATCATCTTCAAGTGAAACACATTAAAGGGCGTGACAACGTAATTGCAGATGCACTCTCCAGGCCATAAATTTGAACTAATTTCTTCAATCAAATCTTAGAAGATTTGACTTCTGGGGGGTGTTATTACAATCTTCCCAAATTCACGGCCTGTGCGTACCAAAGTGATGATAAAAAAATGCGTTCGAAACTAGTGTGCGTATTATGCGTTGAACATGAGGATTCGCGAATCCGAGGTTCCGAAGCGGAGGGCGCAGCAGTCTACCTGCGGAGTGACGTGGACTGAAAACGCGAGTCTCGACTGAGCGGCCATTGCTTCATTCACTCCCAGGTACACGGGTATACGGTGGACTATTATGCGGTAATCCGGCTTTCTGATAGAAAAGTGTGTATTAAATCGCCGTTAGAATTGAAACTGAAATTCTATTTATCATAAGTAATATTTCTTTATTTTGTATAATATTTAATTGTTTTGTTGTGTGCAATATATTTATTGAAATAATTAAACTTGTGAAATATTATTCAATCTAAATAACCCTACTATGAGAAGATAACCTAAGACAATTAAGAAACTGCCATGATAACCTTAGATTACTAAGAAATGTTAAATGAAGAAATTGAAATGAAGAATACTGAATGATGCACGTAATATATAAATAAGCAATACTTAAATAAGTCTACTAATAAATATAATCGAAATAAGGACTAGTACTGGAAAAACTAAATAAATTAGAAATAACTAATAGAAAGATATCTAATTAACAAAAGAATACTAAATAATAACTTCATAATAACTAGTGATTCAAGATACGCTTAATGATAATTCACAAAAGTATAAATTCAAGAAAATAATAAAAGCTGCAAACTTTACGAACTTCAAGATATACATTATATATTCATTTATAAGCTCTAATACAAGCTACTTTCATTACTTGTTGTAATTATTCCGCTGCTTCCCTTAGACATCTTAAAACTAATCTTGCATAGACTATCAACCTACACTGTACTGCACTGTACAACAAGCGGGGTTGTTACAATATATAATATATATATATATATATATATATATATACACACACATATATACATATATACATATATACATATATACATATATACATATATACATATATACATATATACATATATATATATATATACATATACATACATATATGTATGTGTATATATATGTATGTGTATATATATATATATATATACATACATACATACACACATACACACATACACACATACATACACACATATACACATACATACACACATATACACATACATACACACATACATACACACATACACACACACATACACACATACATACACACATACATACACACATACATACACACATACACACACATACACACATACATACACACATACACACATACACACACACATACACACATACATACACACATACACACATACATACACACATACACACATACATACACACATACACACATACATACACACATACACACATACATACACACATACACACATACATACATACACACACACACACATACACACACACACACACACACATATATATATATATATGTGTGTGTGTGTGTGTACGTATATATATATATACGTACACACAGAACAAGCTAGGGAAAAGATATGGCTGTTCCATTTCAAGTTCAATTGTGTTATTATACTGTAAAGGGGTGTCAGTTACTCTTAATTCTGGTATTACTAAGTCCCCAGCTAAGTCATTACCCATGAGGAAACTTGCATTAGGAATTGGTATTTTATCTACAACACCAACCGTTACTGGTCCTTTTACTATACCACAATCTAAGTTGATTTCAGCTAGCTGTTTAGGAGCACATCCTTCAATATATTCAAGCCAGACTTTCTCACCTGTTAAGCAGCTTTCAATATCTGGCAGAGCACTCTTCAGTATGAGTGATTGTGCGCATGCTGTATCTCTGACAATATCAATTGGATATCTATTACCACCCGACTTGAACACGTGACCCTTTGATCGGAATGCCTTAAATGGATCTTCCTGAAACCGTTTATTAGCGAAGTTAGTAGTAGCCACAGGTTTTGTAAAAATATAATCTTTTGCTTCTTTTGCCACCTTACATTTTGGATGTGGGCAGTTTTTAATTAGATGACCCTCCTTTTTGCAAAATTTACAGTATAGGGTAGATATTTGGGTATTAGACTGATACTGTCCACTGTTAGTATTCTCCATATTATTTTTAAATCCTACAGATGACTTTACAATATTTGCTTTCCTTCTCTCCCCTGGTATACTACGATGGACTAAGGAAAACACATCTGCTGCCTTGGCTGCTTTGTGGAGGTCATTTTCCTCCTTGTCTGTGAGGTGAATCATGACAGAATATGGAACCTTTCTCTTGAATTCCTCTAAAACTACGAGGTTGCAAAGTTGATCGAAATTACCGACTGAGGCAGACTTTATCCACCTTCTAAAAGCTTTAAGCTTCTCCGAGGCAAATTCAGCATGTGTTTGGCTAGAAGACTTGTTCATGTTCTTGAAAGCCTGCCGATATCCTTCAGTGGTTATGGAATAAGCAGCTAGAATAGCACAATTTACTTCTTCATAATCAGTGTTATCATTAAGATTTTCACAAACTTTTAGAGCCTTACCGGTCAGTTTAGGCTTTATTAACCCCTTGGTGCCGGGTATGACGTGTACGTACGTGCTATGCCCACAGTGAGTACTTGTTGGATTGTTTTTACGCATAGATGGCAACACTTGTACTAAATCACCAATGAGCCATTTACGAGCACCGCCCGTCTCGCCTGTTTACCCGTTTCTTTTATTTACAAAATATTTTACGTAATCTTATTTTGCTGTTACTAATGTTAAAAAACATTATAAAAATTATAATATTTATGATAAAAATAACACCATCGATTTTCATAGCATTAGTGAAAAATACGTTTTTCCCGCCATTTAAATCAGGCGCTAGCAGAGCCATCTATCGGCAGACATTTCACGAAAAACATAGAAAGTGGGCACAATATTTTCCCCATTTTTTGTTCATTTTCCCCGGCACCATTGGGTTAACCAAACCCAATGTTCTTCAGGCCAATTAAAATGTTTGGCTATGGTCTCAAACTCTCTAAAGAAACCTTCAGGATTATCCTCTGCAAATACAGGAGATAGCTTTACGCATTTACTAATCTCAAAATCAAAATCCCCTCGACTTTTTACTTTCATTTCCATCATTTGAAGCTCATGTCTTCTTTGGTTTTCCTCGCGTTCCAATTGCCTTTCTTCTCTTTCCCTTTGAAACTGTCTCTCTCTCTCACGCTCTTCTTTAGCTCTAGACAATCTTTCCTCACCTAAAATCTTAGCTTGTGTTATTTGAAATCTTAATTTTTCTATTTCTAGTAATTGTGAAGGATTACTAGTATCAAAGTCAATATTTTCAAGAGGAAAAGCCTGCGGTTCATGCTGCTCTTGCAAATGTTCAATTATGAGATCTTTGAGTTGAGCTTTAGTGGCCTCTTTCTGATAATCAATTCCCCAGTGCCTAGCCATGTAAATGAAATCATCCTTACAAGGATTTGACGAGTTTAAGATTTCCACTGAAGGATTGGCTATGAAATCATGAACATCGAAAACCATGTTTATTGCAAAAAGGTTCCAGATAAGAATTAATTCTTGCTTTACAGTTTATAAGTTTACAGAGAGGTGGCGAGTTATGTTAAAATAAAGGATCATTGCAGTATTCTTAAAGAAACTCAAATCCATCTAATTAAGCGGCTATATTGGCAAAGCCACCATCTGCCTTCTAGCTCCCACAAACTGAATGGGAAGAATTTGTCCAGATCGTCTCCCAGATTATCGAACTGAAACAATTGCTTAAAGACGAATTTGAATTATAAAGCGACTACATTAATGAAGTAGTACAAGACTTCTAATTGCAGTGTGCCAGTGCAGCTAAAAGACGGTTAAGATATATTCCCACCTAATATAATCTCGAACCTTAGCTATATCAGAGAAACTCGTTCATAGACGGTCACACTTACAACCGAGTGTAGTTTACCATGCTTAGTAAACTAAAACTAGACTTATGGCGAGCTCTGTCGGCTCCGAAGGAATCTCAGGTCGGCTAAAGTGGGAGATGCTTACTCACATTCAAGCTTAGATAAGTTGAACTGTGCAAGGACACGTAAGAACCAATATTGAATTTATCTGTTGATTGTGCAACACTTTAACAATGGCCAGTTGTAAAATGCTCACTGGTTACGAGAAATAGCAAAAAATACTATAACCACTCTTAGGTAAACCTCAACAAATTATTGTCGCAAGTTACAAGATATTTAGCAAGATTAATTAAAGGAAATAAGTCATGGTATTTAGATGTGGTGTTAATAGTTAATGAAATATCCCGGTCAGGCCCCCATTTGTAACAATCCCGCTTGTTGTACAGTGCAGTACAGTGTAGGTTGATAGTATATGCAAGATTAGTTTTAAGATGTCTAGGGGAAGCAGCGGAATAATTACAACAAGTAATGAAAGTAGCTTGTATTATCGCTTATAAATGAATATCTAACATATCTTGAAGTTCGTAAAGTTTGCAGCTTTTATTATTTTCTTGAATTTATACTTTTGTGAATTATCATTAAGCGTATTTTGAATCACTAGTTATTATGAAGTTATTATTTAGTATTCTTTTGTTAATTAGATATCTTTCTATTAGTTATTTCTAATTTATTTAGTTTTTCCAGTACTAGTCCTTATATCTATTATATTTATTGGTAGACTTATTTAAGTATTGCTTATTTATATATTACGTGCATCATTCAGTATTCTTCATTTCAATTTCTTCATTTAACATTTCTTAGTAATCTTAGGTTATCATGGCAGTTTCTTAATTGTCTTAGGTTATCTTCTCATAGTAGGGTTATTTAGATTGAATAATATTTCACAAGTTTAATCATTTCAATAAATATATTGCACACAACAAAACAATTAAATAATATACAAAATAAAGAAATATTACTTATGATAAATAGAATTTCAGTTTCAATTCTAACGGCGATTTAATACACACTTTTCTATCAGAAAGCCGGATTACCGCATAATTATAACACCACTTATTTCCTTCACTTTTCACCTCATACCCTAGCATACACAGAGTATATACTTCACCAGTATAATTTAGAAGTCACCAAGGTTCCAGATGTTCGTACAATTTTCAAATTTAGTCCACCGTATACCCGTGTACCTGGGAGTGAATGAAGCAATGGCCGCTCAGTCGAGACTCGCGTTTTCAGTCCACGTCACTCCGCAGGTAGACTGCTGCGCCCTCCGCTTTGGAACCTCGGATTCGCGAATCCTCATGTTCAACGCATAATACGCACACTAGTTTCGAACGCATTTTTTTATCATCACTTTGGTACGCACAGGCCGTGAATTTGGGAAGATTGTAATAACACCCCCCAGAAGTCAAATCTTCTAAGATTTGATTGAAGAAATTAGTTCAAATTTATGGCCTGGAGAGTGCATCTGCAATTACGTTGTCACGCCCTTTAATGTGTTTCACTTGAAGATGATAAGGCTGGAGGGACAACGACCATCTCAATAGTCGCTGATTGGAGTACTTGTTCTTCTCCAGGAAGGTCAGCGGATTGTGGTCCGTGAAGATCTGGACAGGATGAGCGCCACCATACAGATAACACTCGAACTTCTTGATTGCAGTTATGATTCCGAGTAACTCCTTCTCGATGGTACTGTATGCTAGCTGATGCTTGGCGAGCTTGGTTGAGTGGTAAGCTACTGGATGTAGAACACCCTCGTCATCATCTTGGAGGAGGACGGCGCCGGTAGCTATGTCACTGGCATCTGTCTGCAGGATGAAGGGTCTCTGGAAATCTGGAGCTGCCAACACGGGGTCGCTGGAAAGCAACAGCTTCAGCCTCTCGAAAGCCTTCTGACATTCTGAAGTCCAGGAAAAAGACACTTTCTGACTGGTGAGACGCGTCAGCGGAGCAGCGACGTCTGCGAGATTTGGACAGTAGCGACGGTAAAATCCCACCATGCCAAGGAAGCGCATCAGTTTTCACAGTTTTAGATGGAGGGCGGAGGGGAGGAAAGGGGAGGGGAGGGGAGGTGGGGGAAGGGGGAGAGGGAGGAAGGTTATTACCTTTTTGCATATATATATGTATATGTATATGTATATATATCTATATTTGTGTGTGTGTGTATATCTATCTATCTATCTATCTATATATGTATATATATGCATATATGTACATACATACATACATACATATATATATATATATATATATATATATTTTTTTTTTTTTTTTTTTCCCTAGCTGTGCAATAACAAGATCCAAAGCTAAGAATGATGGGGATGAATCTTTAGCTTCTTTCAAACCTAATCTAGTAAACCATGATAATCAACCTGTAACAAAGAAAATAACTGATAATTTAATTTCAAATATGATGACACCGGAAAAGCTAATTGAAGCACAGAAATGTGACGAATCTCTTATAAATTGTCATAATGAAGCTTGTGATGGTGCTGTTGTTAAGTCTCCTAGTTTTTACTACAAAGATAATGTACTGATGAGATTCTATCGACCTCCTAATCTGTCTGTAAAGGATTCATGGTCTGAGAAGCATCAAATTGTCTTACCACAGTCTATCAGAAAGAGTGTAATGGATATCGCTCATGAAGGTTTTGGTGGGCATCTCGGGATCAGGAAAACTTGTCAGAAAATCTTAAATGATTTCTTTTGGC